AGTGCGCCGGCGGGCGGTGACCGACCCCGGATCGTCCTCGGGATCCTCGGGATCGTCGGGATCGTCCTCGGGATCATCGGGATCGTTGGGATCATCGGGATTGTCATTGGGATTGTCATCAGCATCATCAGGATCATCAGGATCATCATCAAGATCATTGGGATCCTCATCGGGATCATCAGGATCATCATCAAGATCATCGGGATCGTTGAGATCCTCATTGGGATCATCAGGATCATCGGCATTGTCATTGGGATTGTCATCAGCATCATCGGGATCTTCAGGATCATCATCAAGATCATTGGGATCCTCATTGGGATCACTGGGATCCTCATTGGGATCATCGGGATCATCATAAAGATCATCGGGATTGTTGAGATCCTCATTGGGATCATCGGGATCATCGGCATTGTCATCGGGATCTTCAGGATCATCATAAAGATCATCGGGACCGTTGAGATCCTCATTGGGATCACTGGGATCATCACTGGGATCATTGGGATCATCATAAAGATCACTGGATCATTGAGATCCTCATCGGGATCATCAGGATCCTCATTGGGATCATCGGGATCGTCACTGAAATCCTCATCAGAATCATCAGGATCCTCATTGGGATCATCAGGATCATCGGGATCATCATTAAGATCCTCACTGGGGTCATCAGGATTATCAGAACCATCGCTGGGATCATCATTGAGATCATTGGGATCATCACTGGGATCATCAGAACCCTTACTGGGATTATTTGGATCATTGGGATCTTCAGGATCCTCATCAGGATCATCGGAACCATCAGAACCATCATTGGGATCGTCGGGATCCTCACTGGGATCATCGGGATCATCGCTGGGATCATCAGAACCGTTATTGGGATCATCGAGATCTTCGGGATCCTCATCGGGATCATCACTGGGATTCTCGGGATCCTCATCAGGATCCTCTTTGGGATCCCCATCGGGATCATTGGGATCATCCAGACCATCGGGATCCTCACTGGGATCCTCACTGGGATCCTCACTGGGATCATCGGGATCTTCAGGATCCTCATCAGGACCATTGAGAACTTCATTGGGATCCTCAGGATCCTCACTGGGATCCTCATCGGGATCCCCGGGATCCTCACTGGGATCCTCGGGATCATCCAGACCATCGGGATCCTCACTGGGATCATCATCGGGACCATCGGGATCCTCACTGGGATCCTCATCGGGATCCCCGGGATCATCCAGACCATCGGGATCCCCGGGATCCTCACCGGGATCATCGGGATCATGCAGACCATCGGGATCCTCACTGGGATCCTCACCGGGATCCCCGGGATCATCCAGACCATGGGGATCATCACTGGGATCCTCTCTGGGATCCCCGGGATCCTCACTGGGATCCCCGGGATCATCCAGACCATCGGGATCTTCGGGATCCTCTCTGGGATCCCCGGGATCCCTCCGAGGGCAAGCGAGAGCTCCGGGAGGATTTTGGGGGGAAACTTTTTTTGGGGGTGGGAAAACGGGGATTGGGAATTGTGGGATTTTATCCCGGAATTTGGATCCTGGGGAATTCCTGGAGGGGTTCGGGAGGATCCAGAGGGAATTCCCGGGGTTTATTCCCGGGATTTCGTCACTGGGAATTCCTGGAGGGGCTTGGGAGGATCCAGAGGGAATTCCCGGGGTTTATTCCCGGGATTTCATCACTGGGAGACGCTGGGAGGGAGTGGGGAGATCCGAGGGCATCCCAAGGCTCCTGGAACCCCAAGGAATTCTGATCCCCCCGGGAATTCCCCCACCCCGAGACGTTCCCGGGACCTCTTCCCAAAATTCGGGAGGGGAAAAACCGGGAAAAGCCCCAAATCCAGGCCGCTCCCAACCCCCATCCCGCCGGAATTCCGGGGAAAAGCCCCCGGGATCGCCCCCAATAAAACAAATTCCACCCCCGGCTCTGCGCTCTGGGATTTTTTTGGGATTCCCGGCGGGAATTCCCGCCCCTTCCGGGATTTTTTTTTGGGGTTTCACCCCCTTCACCCCCCCCCTTTAATCCCAGAATTCCCAAAATCCCGGAATTCCCGGATGAGCCCCCAGAAAGAGGGCGGGTGACGAATGCAGAATTCCTTTAATTAGAAAACAGCCGTTAAGGAAAGAAAATCCAAGGAAAAACCAAAAACCAAAAAAAAAAAAAAACCCGGGAAAAACAAACAAACAAACAAACAAAAAAAAAACCGGGAAAAGACGGAAAAAAATCCCCCAAATCCCAAAAAAAAAAAAAAAAACCCCAACGAAACAAGCCCAGGAAAACACCAGCGAAAATTCCCGGCCGGAATATCGGGAATATCCCTCCGGAATTCCCATTCCCAACCCCTCCCCCAGCCCCAAAAGCTCCCTGAAAGATTTTATTGCACTTAAGAAAGAAAAGCGACCCCTCCCCCACTCTGGGAATTCCCTGGGAATTCCGGGAATTTCGGGAATTCCGGGCTGGGAGATTCCCCGCGGCGCGTCCCGGATTTTGTTTTTATTTTCTTTTCCGCATCCCGGATTTCTTTTTTCCTCCTCCTCTGTCGCTCCGGAAATTTGGGATCAGCGAGGAATTCCGACCCCTCCCTCTCCCATTTTTCCCTCCTGGATTTTTTTTCCCGGGAATTCTGCATCTCCCGGGTTTTTTTTCCCGGGAATTCTGCAGCTCCTGTTGTTTATTCCCGGGAATTCTGCAGCTCCTGGATTTTTTTTCCCGGGAATTCTGCATCTCCTGTTGTTTATTCCCGGGAATTCTGCATCTCCCAGGTTTTTTTCCCGGGAATTCTGCATCTCCAGGATTTTTTTTCCCGGGAATTCTGCGTCTCCAGGATTTTTTTTCCCGGGAATTCTGCGTCTCCAGGATTTTTTTTCCCGGGAATTCTGCGTCTCCCGGGTTTTTTTTCCCGGGAATTCTGCGGCTGGCGATAAATAAAGACGGGAAGAAAAAACAACAACAACAACAACAACAACAACAAAAACCAGAGGGAAAAAAAAAACCAAAAAAAAAAATTAAAAAAAAAAATAAAGGGGGGGGGGGAATGGAAAAAAAACCGGGAAAAAAAATTCCCAAAGGATGGGAAAGGGCGGGAAAGGGAAACGGGGAATAAATAAAGCGCGGCCGCCGCGGGAGCGGCCGATCCCGGGATTTTCCCGTTTGTTTTTTTTTTTTAGGGATGGAATTCCCAAATTCCCGCTGCTCCGGCCCTTCCCGGTTCCCTGTAGTGTTGCCGGATCCCGCCGGGAATCGCTCCGGGAATTCCCCGGAATGCCGAGCCCCGTTCCCGGCCCCTCGGAGGCGGGAAAAAAAAACAAAAAAAAACCCCAAAAAAAGGGAAAAAAACCCCAAAAAACCCGGGAAAAATCCGTTTGTTTTGGTTCATTTCCGTTTTTGTTTTTTTTTTTTTCGTTTTGCGTTTTCCGTCCGTTTTTCTTTTCCAAGAAAAATCCCGAAAAATCCCGAAGTTTGGTTGGAATCTTGTGCGGAAGCGGGAAGAGAGGAAAAGCTCCGGAGCCTCCCCCTTTTCCAGAACCTGCGGGGTGGGGAGGGCGGAAAAAAAGCGGGAAAAGCCAGGCTGGAATTCCTGGATATTCCCGGATTTTATTATTTTTGGGAAAAGCCGGGATTCCCGGGAATTGTGGGGTTGGATCCCCGGCTCACCTGCGCTCAGAGCGGCTCCGGAGCCGTGTCCAGGCTGGCCTCCAGGAGCAGCTCCTGCAGCTCCTGCTCGTTCCGGGAGCCAGGCTGGCCTCCAGGAGCAGCTCCTGCAGCTCCTGCTCGTTCCGGGAGCAGCTCAGCTCTGCGGGAATGCGCCCGCGGAATGTTCCGGAGCTCTGCTCCGCTGCTTCTCCCGCTTTTCCCCAACTCCGTTCCCACTTTTCCAACCCAATTCCCACAGAATTCCCATTTTCCAACCCAATTCCCAGAGAATTCCCAGTTTTCCAACCCAATTCCCAGAGAATTCCCAGTTTTCCAACCCAATTCCCAGAGAATTCCCATTTTCCAACCCAATTCCCAGAGAATTCCCACCTTTCCACCCCAAATTCCAGCTCCATTCCCAGTTTTCCAACCCAATTCCCAGAGAATTCTCATTTTCCAACCCAATTCCCACAGAATTCCCATTTTCCCTCCCAATTCCCACAGAATTCCCACTTTTCCACCCCAATTCCAGCTCCATTCCCAGTTTTCCCTGATCCATTCCCAGTTTTCCACCCCAATTCCAGCTCCATTCCCAGATTTTCATCCAGATTCCAGCTCCATTTCATTTTCCACCCAAATTCCCACAGAATTCCCACTTTTCCTCCCAATTCCAGCTCCATTCCCAGTGTTCCAACCCAATTCCAGCTCCATTCCCAGTTTTCCACCCCAATTCCCACAGAATTCCCAGTGTTCCACCCCAATTCCAGCTCCATTCCCAGTTTTCCAACCCAATTCCAGCTCCATTCCCAGTTTTCCCACTCCATTCCCACTTTTCCACCCCAATTCCCACAGAATTCCCACTTTCCCTCCCAATTCCAGCTCCATTCCCGTTTTTTGGGGGGAATTCAGGGCCCCAGAACCTTTGGGAATCAGGAGGGACTCCAAACCCTCGGGAATTGTGGCGGGATTGGAATTTCTGGGAATTCGGGATCCCGGAACCCTCGGGAATTCCGAACTCCCAGAAATCCGGGAATTCAGAACCCTCCGGAATTCGGGGTCCGGGAACCCCCGGAACTCCGGGATTTTGGAACCTTCTGGAATTCCGGGATTTCAGAACCCTCTGGAATTCAGAACTCCCAGAAATTCGGGATCCCAGAGCCCCCAGAAATCCGGGATTTCGGATTTCCGGAGTTCAGGATCCCGGAACCTTCTGGAGTTTCGGATTTCAGAACCCCCAGGATTCCAGGATTTTGGAACCCTCTGGAATTCAGAGCCCCCAGAAATTCGGGATCCTGGAACCCCCGGAACTCCGGGATTTCAGAACCTTCCGGAATTCGGGATTTCAGAACCCCCGGAATTCCAGGATTTTGGAACCCTCTGGAATTCAGAACTCCCAAAAATTCGGGATCCCAGAGCCCCCAGAAATTCAGGATCCTGGAACCTTCCGGAATCCGGGATTTCGGAACCCCCGGAACTCCGGGATTTCGGAACCCTCCGGAAGCCGGGATCCCCGAGTTGCCCCGGGCCGGTCGGGATTTTGGGAATCTCACCGTGCTCGCCCATTCCCGATTTCCCGTCGCCCTCCGGGCCCGGCTCCGGCAGCGCCCGGGCGAAATCCGCCTTGAGCCCGTTGGGAAGCGGCGAATCCCGGGAAGGGCTCCCGCAGGGAATTCCCGCGGATCCGCCCTGAGCCCGCGACAGTTCGGGAACCGGGGCCGGAGCCGCGCGCGGGAGCTCGGGAACGGCGCCGGATCCCTCGGGAACGGCCCCAAATCCCTCGGGAACGGCGCCGGATCTGTCGGGAACGGCCCCAAATCCATCGGGAACGGCCCCAAA